CATATACACTGATACTATATATAATATTATATACATATATTTTACATATTATTAATATAATATGTTACCGGAAGCGGTAATCTGCACGTACGTTTCGTGGTGCGTAGAGCTCATTATTTCCTTATTCCGTCTCGCATGCTGTGTTGTATCACCATGGGTGGTAGCTTAAGCTGGTGATATGGGGAATATATCTCGAGCACCTACATAGGTATGCTCATGTATTATATTACTTCAAACGAATGTCTTTTTCATAACTTTTACAATGTATAGAACATAGAATAATAATAATTATTAAAATAATGATAATAACAATAATTATAGCCGACGGAAAAGCGTCTGTTCGTGACTCAAGTGTGAGTGCGTGTGCACAATCAAGCTTTTGAGCGACGAGGGGTGCATTTTGTACGTACATATTAGATATTAAATTATAGTGAACGCGGTGATTGTACAATTTTTACAGCACGAACAGCAGCGATTCGTCGACACTCTATATGACCCGTCATAAATAAGTATTGTGAATAATCATTTTTCATAATTAGTATATACAAATATATAAGCATCAGTTTATGGTTTATTTAAATACATTCAAATATCGACACCGTGTGTCCATATAAGTATATGTAACGGCGCCATTAACACTAAACACAACAAAATAATAAACTTAAAAACATCCATTATAATAAAATTAATTCACATAGTTGATCAGTAGGTAATTAATGACTAATGAGAAATAAACTAACAGACTAATAGGCAATAAGCATAAATATATAGGTGCTACAACAGCGTTAATATTGTATTATTATTATTATTGTTGATTTAATTGTCAAAGTAAATTGTATATAATATAGTTACCTCACTTACTTTTTTTATAATTAATATTTAATCGAATCTACGAACATTATTATATTACTGTTGTTACCTATATAGTATGGTTTCGCATTATTCATGTATCAAAAATCAAGATTGCCTATTATAATAAACATATTTATTTATGTACCTGATAATATTAATAATTCATAAAATATATATATGTAAATTGTAATTACACGTTTGTCCTAACTAGCGACCGTTTATTTTTAATTAAAATTAAACACAATATACATTTATGTATAGTCGTAAAATGTATAATAGTAGGTACAAATAGTAGTATAGTACAATTATAGTTCTATACTTTTATGTTTATTGTAGACTGTAGTAGCCAGTCCTACCTATTGGATATCGTGGCAATTGAAGCTCGTTATAGTTATACCTATTATAATTTATAATTAAGAGGACTTTACTCTGGCATTTGTTGTACGTCGTACAAGAGCAAATTTACGATGAGTAGATCAAGTATAAGCTTCGTTAAAAATTAGTGTGAATCGACCTATTACGAAACTTGATGGTAAAAACATTATCTGTGTTTCTATATATTATATTTTTCAATGGTTCAATTTTTAAGTGAATTATGAACATTTTTAATTTGCACTATATTATATACAAAAAAATTGCTAAAAAATTGAGCTATATTAAAAAACTAACATATAAATACAGATAATATTCTTATCATCAAGTTTCGTAATAGATCGATTCACTCTAATTTTCAAACTAACAAAGCTATACGGGATCTGCTAAGAGTATATTTCAGTGGTTCTTAACTGGTGTTCCGTCAACTTCGTATAAGTGTTCCCCTCCAAAAAAATTAGTTTCATTGTCTTTACATTTTGGCTTTCATGGACTTCTAATACACAAGAGTATGAGACGTGTATAAGGTATAACAATATACTGTATAGTGTATAGAATCATTTTAGGTTAATATATTAAAAAATGTATATATTATTATTTTATTTTACGACTGTGTTCCGCGTAAACCTTATAAAATGTTAGCTGTTCCATCATTCCAAAAAGGTTAAGATCCACTGGTATATTTCATAGGCGGTCCTACGGATGCAGCCTCTGCAGCCTGTGCTGCACCTGACATTACAACCACCACTTTATTTTATTGGTTGAAATCATATAACTATTCATAACTCATAAGGTATAGATATTTCATAGTTTATATCTTTGTTATTTCATGATATATTGTCCTGATCATGAACTTAGTTGTTACTTTGTTAGTTTCAGTGTTGGATAGTAACGTAACGAAGAATACAAATTACTATTGTAGTAGCCAGTAACGCTGTAGTAATTTGATTATATATTATTTAAATGGATGCAATTGTAACAAAATTTCTTATAAAAGTAATTTCTTTGGAGCAACGTGTTATTTTCCACGTTATTAAAATAAGTTATGAATGTAGAGTCCATGACATAGACTAAGGGTTAAGATATTCGAGAAAATTTAAAAATCGGTAAAATGTATTTAATATTCTGAAAATTTTAGATAATAATGATGAATATTATAAAATATGCAGGCATTTTACTTATTTTATTCATGCGTCTTACATCCATCCATTATCAATATAGTGTACCTACATAATTAATGTATTACATATACTACTATACAATTTATATATAATAATTAATAGTATACCTACTTCTTATTACATTCGTTATGGACTGAATTGAAAAAGTAACAATTCATTACGCATTACTTGTAACAGTTCATTAACAAGTAACAATTCATTACACATTACTTTTTGAATGAAAAAGTAACATAACGTGATAAAAATAATGTCGGGAAACGCGAATTATGTAATTTAAATAAACATATTTAATGTAATATAAGTAGGTAACGTAATTAGTTTCTTATCGAAAGTAATTTACCCAACACTGGATAGTTGTTAGCTCGTAGATCTGATGATCAAGCCAGAATTAAAGGGAGGAAGACTCTAGGCTAACAGTGGTATTTATAGTCAAGCGCGATCACATCTATAATTATTAGTTATCATAATATGAAGAAAAACCAAGTTCGGAGGAAAGGAAATTACTAGTTTACTAGTTTCAAAAATTATATATAATAGTCTAAAGTAAATTATGGTTCATTGATACTCAGTAAATCTAACTTCGTACACATTCCCAATACCCCTAACATTTAGAAATTAGCCATCTATGCTGCACGGCTGCACCTGAAGTAAAATCCTGGGACCGCCTATGTATTATATTGTTAGGTAGGTAGATAAATACTTAATACCCTGTGACCCATTGCCAAAATTATTATACTACTTAGAACACATACACCATGGTTCACTGCAACAATCACTCACCACCCAAAACAATTGGATGGGCAATCGCCCGACCTGTACAATATGTTTTTCGGCACTGATTATTCGTATTCCTTAACGAAAGTAGAATAAGTGACTAGTACCGAATGATATAATACTACTATTGTGGGTATGGAATTGTGGTTTGTCTGTATTCAATAAAAGATAAGATTTAATTGAAACAATTAAACGATGAGGAACAAAATTAAATGGATATTCCTACACAAGTTTAGGTACCTACCAAGATATGTGTTGTCTCCGTCTTACAAGTGCGTGACATAACAAATTGTAAGCTCAGTAGATCACGTTTAACTCCATTAGTTTAAAAACTAGAGCGATTCGACTTCCTACAAAAATTAAAGGTAAGATTATTGTCTAGGGCATTTTATGGACTTATTATTATATTTTTATTTTAAAGTGAGTTGCGAGTATTTTAAGATCTACAATTAACAATTTTAAAATATGAAATACTTTCTTTAAAATTAAAATAGGCACAATAATAAGTTCATGAGATGCCCTGGACAATAATCTTACCTTTCATTTTCGTGGGCAGTCAAATCCCTCTAATTTTTGAAGTAGTGGAGCTAAACATGATTTGCCGAGCGTACAATTAGCTATGTTACGCGCTTGTCTTACGGAGACAGTTATATAAATCGAGTATCAATTATAATATCATACTGTGAGACCGTGTGCAATGTACTACTGTTTTTCATTTAAAAATTCTGAACTCTGAGAAGATCTTTTCTTCATCGCAGATCGTGGAAGTGGTTTCTACTTTTTACTTAACGTATGCGGCTAGTTAAGCCAATTGCCGGGTCGCACACAATATCTACTGAATCAATTGTGAGCTATGATCCCTGAAACAAGAATTAGTGGTCGACGCAATAATTTGTTCATACATTTTGCAACACAGCAAGAAAGACTGAACTGTCTGAACTGCAATAACATTTATCATAGGCTATGTTTGTTACTTATCAGCAGGGCTTGGGACTTATAGCACTTAAAATCATTCAAATAAGAGCTTAAAAAAGCGTTAAAAAAAATCATTATAAGCACTCAAATAAGCATTTAAAAAACTTAAATTTCAACAAAAATAAAAACTAAAAAATCAAAAAATAAATAAATCTTTATCTTTATATTACAAAGAAAAATTAAACTTCACTTTCGAGATTTTAAATATTTTATGGATTTTCTGAAAAATAAAATGTAAACAATATTTACAAATAATTGAAAAACAATTAATTAATTAATTAAATACGCGGTAACGTAGATAAGAATTATTTTTAATTTTAATTCTATCAAAAACAACTTTGCAGGAGAAAACCATAGAAAACTAGAAAAACTGATCGAAAAAGCAAAAGTAATCATAAAAACTGGAAATTAGCATTTTTTTTAAAAATCGCTGAAAAAAGCAAAAAAAAAGCACTTTCAAATTTCATAATTGAACGTGTTGTAACATGACATACACTTCCATAGCAATCTGCTACATTTTAAGTCAATCCATAAAAATAAGCAAATGCTTTAAGTCCTGAACCCTGCTTATCAGTAATCATATTACATGTTATCTCTATCACAGTGGTCGGAGCACTCTCTACATCGTGTGTCGGAGTAATTCATGGACATATAAAAGCAATATATATGTATGTCTGTGGAGTAATTCATTATAAAATCGGTGTAGTTTATGTTCGAAGTAATTGACGTCGGAGCAGTATTATGATATGGACAAAGAAAACGTTTTTCGTTGAAATGCAATGTCGTAGCAGTTGTAGATAGTAGTAGAACTGGTGTTATCCCGTAAACATGTAACATTACTATTATTTGATGATAAAGCACAAGTCGAAAATATTGTAATCTATCGTCTCGAGTCCGCAAATATCGCAATAACAATAATAACTAACAACTTCAGTGTTATACTAATATTATAAGAACACGAATAGTAATAATTAGAAATAATAATTACGTACGTAATATTACTAACAATAATTTTAGTGGTTACCCACAACACGCGCATCAACAAAAAAAATGGTTAACAACGAATCAGTCGGTCGCATTAAGTAAAAGCGATTTCGAGTTTTCCCGACGTGCCTAAACGAATAAGGCGTGAAAATCTACACATAATTGTTCGGTTGTTCTGAGGCCGTTGACACTTACTTTACACTTACTCAAATTTTTCACTGCAAAATCCACGACGATGTCAGACCACGTAGATTCCGATGAAAATTCCTCTGATTCCAGTTACACGAAGGTGGACTTTTACGAGGGTGAGTATGTGTATGGGGTCGGATCTACGCCCTCCCTATACCAGTGCTTCTCAGCCTTATTTTACGACGACACCCTAATTTAGATTCATAAAAATGGTGATACACTTAAAACAATTAATGATATGAGACCTTCTCCACAGTTGTTTTCCTTAACTGTGTTATTTACCATTACGTCATAATGCTATAATAATGTCATACATTTTATACTTTGAACATTTTCAATATACATAAACAACTTTTTTGGCGACACATATCACTTTAATACTCAATACTCTAGTGTGTCGCGACATACTGGTTGAGAACCACTGCCTATACTCAATATCTCTCAAGTGTTCGTAACAAAAACCATTTTTGAAATAAACTGAATCTCGATTTAAATGTACGCCTAAAATTAAGTACCACGGAACCAGATATTTTATCGCTAATATCAAACCTACAAATCCATGGTTCTCATTGAAAATATTTTGATATTTAATTCATATCTTATTTAAAAAAAAACTAATACATTTGTATTAATGAATAAATTATAATTGTACTGATTTATTTTACTGCCTTATTAGGTATTTAAAACAAATGTATCTATGTACAATTTTGATCGTTCTATTTTAAATCATTAGTAGTACATAACTGGTTGATAATATACTTAAGTGGTTAGAAAAAAAAGTTTGAGAACCGTTGCTCTATAGTATCAGTTTTCTCCTTTCTACTATATTTGCTTTAACTAACTAGTACCTGAGTACTTTTCCAAATGGTAATCAATAGGCATTTCTATTCCTTATAAATGTCATCAATGCAATTTGGTCACCCACCATTTTGACTGTTACATCCTTGCTGCCAGTGCAGTGCTAAGCATGTGAGCAAGGTGTTCGAACAAGGGTGGCTACAAATAAAATCTCAGAAAAAGATAAAATATCAATATATTCTGTTCTTTATAAAGAAAGGTACCGTTTCACCCATGGCGACTAAGCTAAATACCACTGCCAAACCATCAAATCCCCTCTACATGCAATCTATGTATAAAATAGACCTGTATTTACTCACTAATTCAGGTATACCGGGTAGTGGTGAGGACAAGGCAGTGTGAAGTGTGGGGAAAAGGTGTCACTGACAGTTTTTATCAAGGCGAGGTACCTTTCTTTCATGGAATAGAGCATCAGTGTATGATATAGTTGACTGAGTTTGTAGTTATAAGATATAATGTGGGTATTATATTATGTATTATACATACACTTATACAATTTAATGCTAGGTTTGATGATTTCAGAAATTTGTGTTTTTACTGTCAACATAATATATAACGTGTCTTAAACAACTAAAAATGATTTAATAGAATTGTAGAAATTCATCACAAATCTAGGCAGTGCTCTGGTATGAAATTGGGAAGGAGGGGACAGTCAATTTGTTTAAATAACAAAGGTGGCCAAACAGGTCAAAGAGTGTTGCTCTTGGAAATTAGTGATGAATAAAGTGCGGATTTGTATGTATTTACATATTTGTTACAAATGATAATATTTGAATGATTCCCTTATAGAATTATGTTACAGGACTATCTGATTATTTTAAGTTTACATATTTAATCTTAATTACATATTTTTGTTAAATATTGAGCTATTTACAAAATTATTAATGTATCGCCTTTTTATATTATTTGTTGTTATTTTTTCCAGTCCGACTGTGTGCTAATTATAATCGTGAGTTGCGAGTGTTAGTCCATAGTCCACACGTTATCGACCCAGTGATCGCTATACGCTTTTCGATAAAAGTAAATTTAATTTAAAGAAAGAAGTCTCTGGAGAGGTCGGAATAAAAATTAAGAAATAAATTGAACAAGTACTTAGTAAAAACCTATGTCTAAAGACACTTGAAGCTATTGGAAACATTCACAATGGCAGCGATACGCAAACTTCTTTATAATTTAGTCTTGCTGAATTAGGGGCTTTTAAATTTGCTTCTATAACTTCCGTTGACGAGGAAAGGTCCTTTAGCCGCTATAAAAACATAGTGCGTCCTAATTGACGTTGATTTATTTTTTACCCCCTAAAAAAAGTATATGATTGTCAATTATTTTGTTGACGGCGAAGTATATCCTAACTCCAATGATTAAATATTTAATTTGAATGTATTCCTAATTAATGTTAATAAAATAATAATATAATTTAGTGCTGTATAATTTATATTATGTAAAAAAAAAACTAGGTAAATATAACTTGTTAATTTTTTTGTTTTTGTTAACTGAAAGTAAACTGAGTGACTAGTGGACAGTAGTGAAGGATATAATACTATAGATTATAGGTATTTTTAGGTAATTGTTATTTGTTAATATGCAATATAAGATAAGATTTAATTTAAATAATAAAACAATAAAGAACAATATGAAATGGATATTCCTACATGGGTTTAGGTACCTAGATTAATTTTTAGTTGGTCTTTATAAGTTTAGGTATATATTGCGATATGCTGACATAATAATATTTCCACAATTCCCAATAATAATTATCTTGATATGCATTTTATAGCACTTGATAAATGTTCCTTTAGTACTTTATTAAACAGTGGATATTTTAAATTGGTTTAATAAAGTTTTTACCTGTTTTTTAAATAACTCTAAAAACTTTTGACATAAACGCAATTGAACAAATACTTATAAATTAATTGTAACTTTAATAACTATGTTACCCTATGAAGAAAATATTTTGTCAACTATTGTTTTATTGAACAAATTAGTCTGTGCATAGATAAAAATATGAAGAGAAGGGCCAGAAAAATAAAAATTTATGAAATAGAACAAAAAATAACATTTGAATAATTCTTAGCGTTCTATATTAGCATGTAAAAGTATATAAAAGCATGCTTCATCAATTAGTATAAGGTCTATCCAATAATACTAATATAATAATAATGTTAATAATCTGTTTTTCATTACACATTTTGCATTAAAATAATTGGTGTGTCATCAAATTGTGTAGAGTATTATAAATAAACTATAAATTACCTATATTAACTTATTGAAATATACAAGTTATCCATACTTCAAACTTAAAAAAATTAAAAGTTGTATTAATTATTGATTGCAATTGTAATTTACAGTTATGAATGAAGTGCCTGAGAAGTATAAAGACAAAGTAGATGAATTGAACAAAATATTGCAAAGTAAAAACCAAGATATAAATCGACTAAGAGATTTAGCTATTAGTGATGGAGGATTGGTGATAAGTAAGTAAAAACACAGCAAAAATGTAAAACTTATTAATGGGTTTAAAATAAGCAAATTTACTCACAAAATTTTTTTAAAACAAATTCAATATTAATGCATTTTCAAAGTGATTTGGTAATTAAACTGTAGTGTAGTGCAGCGTTTCCCAAAGTGTGTTCCGCGGAACCTTAGGGTTCCGTGGGACAATGTCAAGGGTTCCGTTAGATGTATGAGATTATTGAGAAAATTATGTTTATTTAATGTTTATTGTTTAAAAAATGTTTGATTGAAAATTTTTGACAATTTTTTAAGGGTGCCGTGGTCGTAAAAGTTTGGGAACCGCTGGTGTAGTGTAATACAACCATTATTGTACTTGATATTGGTAACTGAAAAATTTGGCACTGGACAATACCAAAAATATTATAATATATTATTAGCACGGGAAAGATCCTCTTAGATTATATTGTTAAAAAGACTAAACTTGTGTAATAATAGAGCATTTTTATTGTCTACAAAAATATTTACCAAATCTGTATTTAATTAAAGATAAACAATAACACATTTATTGAATAACTTTTTTCAAATAAAATAAAAGCATATTTAAAAAAAAAGGCTTTACTTTTTCAAAGTTATCGTCTAATTTGCACAAAAATATGGTTTTTCAGATATACATTCAACAAGTGAAATTAACAAGTTCATCACCTTACCATTTTACTTTAAAGAAAATTTGGAATATGTAACAAACCTGTTTGCTATTTTTAATGTTAACTAAATATAGTTTATTATAATATTCCAAATACTCTACCCTATAGGTATATAATCTTTAATTATTTTTCAAATCTGTGGTCTGCACACTCCATATGGGACTTGAAGGTCATGAATATAGCATTGTGGCTATACTGATACATTATGAGTTTTAAAGATTTTATTGAAGTTAAAATTGAATTGGTAACATAAATATTTAAAATAAAAGTTGATAAAAATCTTAATTCTTTGCAAGAATAATTAATTTAATTTTTTCTCAAAATAAGAACAAATAGGCTCTAATTATTATGGTTTTACCAAATTGCATACTATACAATATTCTAAAACATTATGTATTTGTATTTATACATTAAAAAACATCATAATAGATATTAATTATATAAGTAATTGTGTAAGTTAAAATAAATTATTGATTTAAAAAAAAACAGGTTTAATACGCCTGGAAGCATGGAAGCTGTTATTAAATTTACCAAGCAATGATGAACAATTATACCCATTCGAAAGTATTAAGGACCATCCTGAGTACCGTCAAGTTGATATGGATGTAAGGAGGTGCTTAAAAAGATTTCCGCCTGGTATATCATTTGCAAAAATTGGTTTATTGCAAAAAGAATTGATAGCAATTATTATGAGTGTAATTATAGAATATCCAGACCTAAAATATTATCAAGTAATTAATTTAGCCTAATAATCAGAAGCCACACTTTCTAGTATTGAATAATGAGTATAATAATTATTAGTACCTATTGAATGTTATTGAAAGTTTAAATATATTGTCAAATACTTTAAATTTTAGGTTTGTATACTTTATTATTCAAGTTTTTAAATTAAGTAATTTTTACGTACAATTATGTAGATGTATTATTATCCAACTTAAAAGTATAGTTTATAATGCAATTTTATTTATAGTACCTACTTCTGATTTTCTTGACTAACTGATACCAAATTTCTCTTTTATTTTATATCAGCTCATATTTCATTAGACTTTTTTGTTATATCATGTGCATGTTATGATAGTAAGAACCTTGTTAATAGTAAAAATAATAGTACAAAAGGTTAGAAAGTTGGATACTTTATGTTTGATTAAATTTCTAATTTTTCAATAAGTACTTAAATAATTTTGTTTTATTTGTTATGGGTTAGAAAGTTGGGTTTTGTATACTATAATATTTATTATTTTACATCACATTTTTATTTTATTATTATTACAGGGTTATCATGATGTTGCTGTTACTTTTCTTATAGAAGTTGGACCAAAAGATGCATATCATATAATGAAACATCTATCATTGCATCATTTAAAAGAATTTCTACGGCCAACCATGGAGGAAACATCATATCTATTGTTGCACGTTTTTCCTTTAATTAAAAGGCTTGATCCAGAATTGGAAAAATTTATTGTTAGGTGAGAATTAATCCAGATATCATGAATTATTTTAATAGCTACACTGTTTTATGCACTTAATATAACATTGCCATAATACAATTAATTTGAAATATAACTTAATTATTATGCTTTTAGGTCTGGTATTGGTACAATATTTGCTTTGCCATGGTTGATATCATGGTTTAGCCATAGCTTGGACCAACACTCGAAAGTAGTAAGATTATTTGATTACTTTCTAGCATCACCAAAAGACATCATCTTGTATGTTATAGCCCAGCTAATAAGTGCTAGACGTGATGAGATCTTAAACACTGAGTGTGAAATGTCTAGTGTTCACATGGTATTATCAAAGGTATTAAATAATTTAAATTTCTCCTGCACTTGGCGTACATAATATACTTATTTTTATACAACAGATTCCAGAAAGCTTAAATTTTGAAAAAGTATTGGTTAAAGCTACAGCAATGCATAAAGAATATGATCTTTCAGATTTCAAACAAGAGGTTGACGAAAGAGCACTACTAGAGTAAGAAAATAATCTTATTTATATTGATAAATTTTAAATATTTTGATATTTGCCAAATCATAAAAAAAGGGTTTCATTACTAAGTTGTTGTATGCATATTAAAGTTATCATAATTTTTACAGAGCTAAGTTATTAAATGATCAGCGGGAAGAAAATGCAAAGCGGAAAAGAATCAGGAGATTTGCAAATCAAGAACAACCAATTTTTAACAACGCTTTCCGATATGTACCGATATGGATTAGACCTAGAATGAGATTTGGCCTGTTATTCTTTGGATTTAGTTTGGCTGCCGGGCTTTGGGCTGTTTTCAAATCTAATAACAATTAAAAATTAAAAAATTGCTTCAAATATTCCAATTATTATTATTTGTGCTACACACAGGGGACCAAATAGACTGATATCTTACAATATTATATTGATATGTATTTGTTTTTACTTTTTGATATTGGAGCAATCAATTAATTACATTTTTTTACTCATCTTTACCTAGTTAACCTTGTTTAATTCAGCCAAATAGTTCTAAATAATACAACTGTTTTGTAATTTTGTAATTTTCTTTAGATGTAACATGTGATTGTGAAAATTTTTAGTTTTCATAAGTTGGTGATATAATTTTTATTTATTAAGAATCAAACTATAGTTGTTTATTATTGTTAAAAATTTATCTTACCTACATAGTAATATTAGTTTTTATAAGTGTTAATTAAATGTATTTATTATTGTCTCGATTTACTTTTAATTTTGAAATGTTTGTTTCTTCCTAAAATATTTCATACAAATATATTTGTTAATGGTATAAATAATAAATTATTCTAAAATAATATAATTGTAATATTATAATATTTATTACTTAAATAAGATATCAATTACATATAAGTACGGTTTAGCTGTAGAAAAACTTATTTGACCTGTTATGTAACGATGTAGTTTTTAAATATTGGTAAATATTTATTTTTCATCTAAGCAAAGTAGTCATATAATAATTAAACTAATGATACATGATGCCAGTGTAACTAGTACTTTAAGACTGCTTTTAGTGGCTATTATTTAAGAGGCAACCTTAGGCTATTTATAAATTTTTTGAAGCCACCAATGATCGCAGTGTTTTTTTCTATGATTATTAGTAAAGATGTGGTTCCATATCGGCCAACTGTGGCTGGACAAGGCAACTATGTTATATAGCGCTTGTATGCGTCTGCGCAAATCATCATAGGCACAGTCTGAAATATTTTTGTACTTAAACGAGTACATGATAATGAATAACAAAAATAAGCTGACTAAAATTAACATGCTTCCAGTAGCACAATTTTAATTTGGAAAAATAATATTAATTTGCCATCTTTTATTCTATGTTTTGTAGGAGATAGATTTTCAATGATTTTCTAACCACGGTTCCAAATAAATAAACTTAATTTCTTATAAATTATTAGTATTTTAGAAGTATGTTTATTTTTTTTAACAAATAGTGTAATTGCATTTAGATCTAATTGCTTAGATCTGCCTTATGTGTTATATTAATGTTCTTTTTTTAAACGTAAGCCTTAGGTAACTGTTGCAATAGTATTGAAAATGAATCTGGAAAATTATCAAAAATTCGGATTTTAGTCAAACTGCAAAAATACATTATGGTTTTTAAAAAAAGTCGTCATGTTTGTACTTTTTTAATTTTTTATATAATAATAAGTGTTGCATCAATTTAAAATTGGTCTTTTCAATCAAAACACATTTAGTTTTCTGTATAATCTCTAATTTAAGTAAAAAATTGTTTATATGTGTAAAAACGCAAAAATGAGAAGTAAAAAAAATAAAATAAATGAGGTTCCTGCTTCTAATTATATTAAAATCTCATCTTTACTTTGTATCTATACGGGTCTACACCTATACAGATGCAAATATTAGAATTACACTATTGCCTTTCTGCAGTTGTTTGAAGGGCTCTCGAGGTATTGATCAAATACACCAACAATATAAGTGTATGTGGTGTGTGCATGTAATGTAATATAATGCAGTGAATAATAATATATTTTATATTAAATGAGTAAACGTCTTACCTGTCTCGCAGCTGTCTCTGGGTTATGCTGAAGAAATTTTTGATGACACAAATTAATTACTCAAAATAATAAAATACATAAGAGTCCAGTTGTTGCTCACAGGATTTGGTATAGAGAGTTTGTTGCTGTATTGAGTGGTACACATGCACTGTCTAAGGAATGACAATGTTATGCTGATCAGAGAGTCGTAGGTGGCTTTATCCAAAGGTTGTTTTGCGCATCTAAGAGGTAGATTTATCTTTGGCGGCAAAGACCTTTTTTGACCATACCATTTCTCTGGCAGCATGTTAGAAAGCTACATGCCCCACTCCTTACTGTAGCAAATAGGTATGTGTTTATTTCTTAATTTGTGATCTTATAATATAGGTAGACGCTTTTTGGCTGTGGCCTGTGTCAATGGTTTTATTGGGGTCTGGAGATTATAGTTTTCTCCGTGCGACAGTCTGGCGATTATTTATTTGTCTGTTATATTTTATTTTATTCTTATAATGATGTGTCAGCATACTATTACAGTATTACATTTGTAAATGCGTAGTCTAAATATAATCTAAAAGTACATAACACAAGTAATATAAATATTTTGAATGCTCCATTGTCTATTAAAAATGATAATACTTAATAACAATAATAATTCTTTATTCACAGAAAAAAATTCCCATAACATAAAATAAAATATAATTGGAGTAGGTACCTAGTGTATATATAATATATATGTTACGGTGAAAGATGTAAACGTGGTAAAAGACGTCATTCCCCGGTAAATGACATCATTTACCTAAAAATTGGTAAATGTTGTAAATGCAGACATTCCCCGGTTATTGTCGTCAATCACCAGTTTAGTTGGAGAATGATGTTCAATACTTTTATGTCGGTGTGAACGAACAGCGATAAGCGTGTAGGTGCCAAATAAGCTTCGTTAGTTAAAAATATCATGACGGAAGTAGATAGATAAACGAAAATCCCAACAAGCAATAACGTCGATAACCCGAGTAATAATATGAGATAATCTATTAGTTTATTAGTTAGTATCTACGGGAATATTATAGCGAGTTGTATATGCGACGAGTGTGTGTTTTATAATATTATTTGTAAAAATTTGTGTCACCAGTGAACAAAGTGTAATAAGAGTTAGATTCAATTATAGTGTTAGTTTTATTTAATAATTATGGAGAACAAATTTAGAGCAGAAATCGACAAAATTATTAGCAGTAAAAAGAGAGACGACAACATATTTTATTTTAGTTCTGAAGAGTACAACAACAAAATCCAAAAAATAAAAGAATTAAAAATTGGAACACTTAAAAAAACGGTAACGAATAATAGACTTATACGTAAATATGATGTTGTGTCAATTGGGGGAAAAGAAAAATTGATTAAGCCTATAGTTGATAATGAATCTGACGTTTTATATTACGTCACAGTAGACGAGTTGTTTGAAGTCATCCATACAGCACATTTAGCAGTAGGTCATGGTGGTAGAAATAGGATGATGGCTGTGTTAAAAACAAAATATTGTAATGTGACAACGGAGGCAGTTATGGCATATTTAGGTTTATGCAGTAATTGTCAAGTAAAACAATCAAATCCGAAAAGAGGGCTTGTGACAAAACCAATTTTACATTCCGCATTTAATTCAAGGGCGCAAATTGATTTGATTGACATGCAATCTCAAAATTATAATAATTATCGCTATATAATGAATTATCAAGATCATTTAACAAAATTTGTTATTTTAAAACCTTTGAAGACAAAAAGGGCCGAAGAAATCGCTTTAAATCTAATAGATATTTATACAATATTTGGTGCACCCGCTATACTCCACTCGGATAATGGTCGTGAGTTTGTAAATTCTATTATAACAAATTTAAATGAAATGTGGGGAGACGTCAAAATTGTGCATGGCAAGCCTCGTCATAGCCAGACCCAAGGATCAATTGAACGCGCGAATAGGGACGTTGAAGAAATTTTGGCTTCTTGGATGGCTGATAATAAATCAAAAGACTGGCCAATGGCATTAAAATTTGTGCAATTTCAAAAAAATCGGGCTTTGAACTCAGGTAAGCTATTCTAAAAACAATTTTTTTTTAATAATTTTAATTTTAATTAATTAATAATTTTTTTTTTTATAATATTATAAATGTATAATTTATATTTATAATTTTATAATATATTTTTTTGTTATAATAGGTATTGGAAGATCGCCATACGAAGCGATGTTTGGTTGTACAGCGAGAACAGGGTTAGCTTCAGCAGGGATACCTTACGATGAAATAGAAAAACTTAAGTCAGAAGAGGATATTGAAGAACTATTTAATAACAGCAACCATTCAGATCATATAAATGCAGTAGAAGATGATTTAGTCGATGTTGGAGATCTTGACAATGAAGTAAACTTGGAGACTGAAAATGAATTAAGAAATACTAAAGACATAGGTAATTATTTAATATTTATTATATGTAATTTGGCAAAAATACTTGCATATTTCTGCAAATTTAATGGTTGTTGCGTATTTTTACAAAATTTGATTTGCATTGCATATTAAACCAAAAGTTTAAAAACATAATGTATAAAATAATAAATCATTATTTATTTTTTATTATTACTTAATTTGTAAATTTAAAAAAAAATAAAAAATAAATTCTTGCATATTTTCATGATTTTTACTGCATATTATATGGCATATTTCGATAGTTTTTAGTGCATAAAAATCCGAGCTATATAAATTTAATAAAATTGTATAATAATAAAATGTAAAATTTTTTTATTTAAATATAATAGGTTAAAAAATAGTAATCGTCATCTATTTACAGGTAAAAGAATTGAAAAAATTAAAGACCAACGACAAAAATCGGTTGTCTGTCTCGAAAAACAAGCGTCGAAAATGTTGAGATTGACTAACGAAAAATTTTCTAAGCTTGATGTCGGTACAACTGTTCGTGTCCCAATACCAGATGTCGATAGAGCAAGAGGTTCTCCGCGTAATTTACTTGCTGTTATTATTTCATGTGAAGATGACATGTATAAATTATGTAAGCCAATTTTAATTTGATAATGTTTATTTAATTTAAAATGAAATAAATACCCGAATGTTTGAATCAGGTACAGAATATGGGGTGTTGAAACACAAATATACACGAGCACAAATTTCTCCGTGTAAAGAAAAATTTCTAGAGCTAGATGAAGCCATGAAAAAAATTAAAGACAGGGAAATAACATTACGAGAAGCCGCAGGACATGGAATAGCTGGTCATCAAGGATTTAATCGATGCAACTGTAAAACTGGTTGTGGAACTAAAAAATGTGCTTGTAATGCAGCAGAAATGTTGTGCAGTTCAAAATGTCATGGTAACCAAAATTGTACAAATAAATAATTTATAATATGTACGTATTTCATTATTTTTAATTAACTTATTATCCCATTCAAATAAATACCTAAAATAAAAAATGAATTACCCACCAACAATGAATCATTATTATAAGTAGTACCTATGGTAAAAAAATCAGTGTATTATTTGAGATTTATCATCATTTACCACCAGTTTTGGTAAATGACATCAATGGCCGGTGAAAGATGTACATTTGAATTTATAATCTGGTTTTTTACACCATTTACCTACATAATCAAATCATTTTGGTAATAGACGTCATTCACCGGAGAATGACGACATTCACCAATATTCATCTTTCACCGTAACATATACACGTCCAGGCTGTCAAATTCCATAGTTCACTTCATAAACTAACAGGGTCACTCCACTTCAATTTACATTATTATATACGTCCACTGGTGCACCAACTCAAAGATGTCTACAACATGGTTGTCTACATGATTATTAATCAAATTATAAAGTAGTGCAGTGCCTACTTTTAAATTTTATATTCATATTGTTATGCCTATTAATTCATAATTTATTCGCCATCTCTACACCACTAACTATGTCCTATATACGTCTAACCAACCTTAAGTATATTACTAAATCCTATTGTTAGTATTATTGTTAATTATTAGGTACCATTCTAAAATACCCAAAATAATTGTCTTTCTGTAAATATTTGTAGATAGTGGTAATAAGAGTATATGGATATGTTTGGTGATAATCTTAAATTTATCAATGACCCATCATGCACATTTGTTGCACCAGACATTTTTGGTGTTTATATTGGAGTACATTCAGGGCTTGTGCTATCTAATTATGATTAATATTATTTATTAATATAGAATTGAAATGGTTTAAAGCTGTATTTAATACATAAATATAGTTCATTGCTATGGTTGCTAGATTAAATAATTCAAACTTCCATCTAAACCATTATCATTATTAATTGTTTTAATTTTTAAAGCAATTTCGGTAATACAGACAATTCATTTTTACAATTTTAAGACTTATAGAATTGGACGAATGAGAATAATAAGTAAAATAAAATATATATATAGGACCATGTAAGACTGTACGGAATTCTACAGAAATTTAAACTTTTAATTATAGCAACTGTTGGAATTTAAGAAAAAATTAAGATTACATAAAAGAACTATATTATTTAATAAAAAACCAGTAGTATTACCTGTTTGAAAAATGCCTTATTAATTATGGTAAACTAATCGAACTTAAAGTTGTAAACATAACATAAGAATTTAATTTACGAGAACTTACCTAAACGTAAGAATAAATAATAGGTACATTGACAAATAAAAACCATTTAATTTACTATACTTACAGCTTAAATTTACCAAACTCTAATTGTTTCTGTATTATCTTCTAATCCACGGAGACTTTTTTAAGCGTATTGGTCATTTGATTTATTTTTTATTTTTTTAATACTGCATGATTTTATTGGTTCAGCCTCTGACGAGGATTGTTAAATTAATAAATGTTCGTGAGCAAGAGCATCTTCATAATAATCTTGGAAAATTAAAAAAAGTACAACTACCTATATAGGTACGTAGTTTAATTTAAATGTTGGTATAGCTACTTATCTGATATTAATGCAATTGCCGGGAAATTATTACCCCTAATTACCAAATTACGGGATTTAGGTATATTTTATATTTTAATTAAAAAAACAAAGTAGGTTATTAGTTATTACTAGAGCAAGGACTTTCATGCATTTGCATGTTTTTTCCGGTTTAGTTAAACGTATGCAGAGTAAGTACACAATACCTTTCACAACGTTTGTGACCAAAAGCTAAAAGTTTTTAGTGCATTTTTTTGCATATTTGGACATTTTTTGGTTTAAGGGGCATAATTTTGATTGAAAGAGCATATTTTAAGCTTTTAGTGCAATTTTGATGGTTTATCGAAAATCGAGCACTTTGGTGAATATTTTCTATGAATCAAGATCAACAATTTGTTATAAACTTATAAAGACGATAGTGATAAATTTTATAGAATCAAGTAAATATCTATAGTCAGTGGGTGGATTAGATTAGTTCTAGTAGATTTGCCACGTGTGTGTAAGTTCCGCGAGTTTAATTTGTATATAACGTTCGTGAGTAATATATGCCAAAAGAAAAATTCTACAAAAGCTTATTGTTTGTGTAATTTTGTAATCGAGTTTGGTGAATCTGTATTTTAATAATGAAAAAGAATGGGATCCGACATTCAAAAACAAATTCAAATCAATTTACTTATAGTGAATAATAATAAAATTAATTTTTTTAAGGGCATATTTAACCGCATATTTTTAATTTTTTGATGCATAAGTGCATGTTTTTAAATGCATATTTGATGATTTCTTAGTGCATGACTTAGTTGCTCTAGTTATTACCTAAAATATAATAAATACAGTAATCTCTCTCGTTATCCGCGGATTTTTAATCCGCGGTTGGGTCGGAGATAACATTTTCTTTACGATGAAATTGTATCTTTATTATACCCATACTTATAACAGGTAAGCTACATAAAGTACATACCTTAGTATGTAGATAATATGCAAATTTTTTTCATCCTTCCTAATATATCATGTGTGTATAAATAATTAATAAATTATATTAAAAAAATAAATAATCAAATAATTGTAAAACACATTAACCTTTTTGTGATTTTTGAAATTAAATACAAAATAATAACAATTAAATATTGTATGTAAATAAAACCTAAATTCCCGTTTTACATTTCTTTATGGTCTCGTTATCCGCGGTTTCGATATCCGCGCAACTTTGCTGGACCCTAACCTCCGCCGATAACGAGGGATTACTGTATTAAATAATATTAAATATAGGTAAAGCGCCGGTTGTCATTTGCGCATCGCTATTGTTAATTTAGACCTTTTTTGTAAGACATTTACGCATCGTTCGATTTTTGGGTTATATATAATTTGCGCATCAGTCGTTTAAAAGGTCTTACATCATTTGCGCATCAATATTATTTAACAATAGAATTGTAAAAAAGGTGTACACCCAAAAGTGCTAGTTGTTTTCTAACTTTGATCTTGAAATTCATTCATCAACTTTCAAATATTGTACAGATATTTCTGTTTTAAAATATGTTTGACGACGCATATTATGATAAAGAGAAATGGAGAGATTTTGTGATGGCACATAATGGGCCGATAAGCTGAGAATATTGAGATAATATTGTGGAGGATTATCATTATAGTTAGCAATAACATAACTAAGATTATTTTTACACTGAAAGAAAAATATTAAAAAGTTGTGAAATTATATTTATGTGTCCAAAAAAAAAATTGTTATGCCTCAATAAAAATTGATGAACATCGAAGAACGGTATTAGAAATACGTGGAGAACATACGCATCTCAAATTGACGGATTCAGAGATAGAAAAACACGAAATAAGTCAAATTAAGAATTATAAACAATTAATAACAATTCTATTGTTCAGCATGTTGATGCGCATTTGATGTATAATAATTTGGTGCAGGTAAAACGGACAATACGCAAACGATAATTAGCGCTGATGCGCAAATGATGTACGATATTTTGGCACAGGTAAACAGACGATGCGCAAATGATGTACGGCCTAAAGAATGGAAAGGTTTCTGATTTTAAATCAAGGGATTTATACAAAAATGTATACCTGAATTATATTCAATTCATACATGGATGGACTGAATAAATAATTTTACCAACAATTATCTACTAAAAACTTTGCTTGGGTAGGTATAAGTAGAAATTAATATGCATTTTAAATATGTCATTATAATCTAAATGCTGTATGTTAAATATATTTAGGTATGTGATATGTGAACATTAAATCACAAATAATACTTTAACACTAATAATATGTACCTACCTTCAAAAGATGATATTGAGATAAAAATTAATGTTTATTTTAAATGTATAATATTATAATCTAAATCAGTGGTTTTCTAATTTTTATTATACACAGCACACTTCAAAACATTTTCTCGGCACGCTGACCTTTTTTTTTTAGATGATCAATGAAATGCAATCGGCAATTTATGGAAAAACCGCGGCACACTTGGTGGATACTCGCAGCACCCAGTTTGAAAACCACTGATCTAAATTCTGCATGTAATATATATTTAGATATGTGAGCATTAAATCGCAAATAATACTTTAACACTAATAATATGAACCTACAAAAGATAATAATGAGATAAAAATTAATTTTTCTGTCCTAGTATTGATTACATTATTTTTAGTGGCTACTAGGGCTGTAATGTACATTCCAATAGTGTAACCGTAAATAATTCGACTATTCGAATACCTAAACTAGAATAATTCGATTATCAGTATTCGACACTACAAAATCAATATTAATCAATATAAACAATAATTATATTATATTCGATGATATTTATCGATGAAATTTAACGTACAAGCATTTATTATTTATTATTGAACAAATTATCGAGTAAAACTATTATTCATAAATGTATATTTATTTTTCAATTATTACTTAGTATTTAATATTTTTCTGTTATGCCTGATATTATATTATGTATTATTATTATATATTATTGTACAAAACTTTGTTTTTAAAACCTATGTATACCCAACGGTTAACTGTATCTATTAAAAGGGCAAAGGAAAAGGAATACGTGGCTGTCGAGAGCGAAAATTGGTTAAAGAATTGAATAAATGTATAATAGGTACATTATACATGCATTATCATGGAAAAACGACTAAAAAAAGTTATAGTATTCGAATACTGATATCCGAATATTTGAATATTCGAATTATTTACAGTAAAACTATTCGAACTCGAATAATCGAATATTCGAATAATTCCCATCACTATTGGGTACCCACATAAAAAAAAGTAAAAAGTTGTTCAATATGACTACCTACAAGGAAATTGCAAATGCACATGGAAAATCAGCTTAACGTGTTGTAATAATAATGTTTATAAATACCTACCTAAATATAATAATAATCCAATAACGTTAGGCAGGTATCTAGCCAAAGTTTAGAGGTTTAATAACATTAAATATACCAATCATTAATGCAGGTAATTCAATTTATATAGGTATAGTGCTTGAAGCCCTGAAATATAATGCATTTGTCTTACCGTATAAGATAAACCGACCGTATGTCAACCAATTTTTGCGAAATCATTTTAATAATTCAAAACCAGTTATATTCGATGCCTACTATATTCTACTATAATCTGATATCTTTTCAATAAATGAATTTGTAATTAATAATTTCATTGAAGTAAAATGTTGGTTTAATCATATTGTAATAAAATACACACATAAGACACACAGTTAATAGATTTTTCTAAAAATTAAAAACCAAGAAAGTCTACATGCCGCGACCTCCGACAAACCGTTTATGCATTTGATTCTGAACGATAAAAGTTATACTTAAATATTTTATAGACTTTCATTAATAGCATCACAAACTTCTAGTATTATTTTAATCGTGTGTATACTTTTGACACTCTGAAAAATATCTACAACAGTCCATACGATGTTCCAGAAGAAGGAAAACTTACCTACACCGGTGTTATTTCAAACTATACACTTTTGCAAGTCTTCTGTCATCCCTCGCGTGCGTTTCCTCCCGTTGAATTCAGAGTATTTGTTATTTCCATTTGTGTTGGTGTCTCACTCTCGTCGCCGCTTTGTATTCTTGTGGATCTTCGTTGTATATAGTTATTTGAGTATCGTTTCCCCTTTCCTTGGCATCCGATTCCCGACCACAGTGCACGGGTGTAGACTAGCTGTCCGCTGTCAGGTCAGAAACTCGCACTGTGTATAACCACCGCGACTTTGGATAAACGACGCGTGTTCACAAACAGTCCGTGACGAGAAGTGTGTGTAGGCATGGGTATTCAATGTTGGCCAAAACATTTCGCGTGCCTGGCGTAACCTGTTGTATCTACACAATACAGTGAAACCTCTCTTAACGGACACCTCTGAATAACGGACGCGGACAGGTTTAGACAGTCAGAAGTGTTTGAATATATCTAAATAACGGACAGCTATCCAAACAATTCGAGCTTAATGTAATATATGCAATACAATATGTGTACTATGACAATATTATTATACATGATATTACGATGCAGTTTCACTGTCAATAGTTAACCAACTGCTGTCTAATTTTGAGGAAATTGCAATACAAGAAAAAAAACGAACTAAAATTTCAGATTTTTTTTCAATAAGTAATTGTGTATGATATATTATTTTGTTACATCTAAATAATTGTAATAAATTATATTATGATAAACCTAAAGTAAGATATTTTTTAAAAAGTCAATACAATTTAAATTTTCAGACATAAATACATACATATTATTTTATTAATGGTTCCCAATAGCGGACGCCTCTGAATAGTGGACAATTTCGGTCGGTCCAGCGAGTGTCCGCTATCTAGAGGTTTTACTGTACATACTTAAAATACTTAAATACTATTTTACATTCGATTTATTTCGAGGACCTCCGACCTTATTGAGTATGAGAACCTATTGAGTACATAATATATGCCATCTTTATGTGCCCGTTTACCAATAGTCCTTTTCTGCAGCTACCGTACCGTAGGTATTAAATTGTCGCCATCGACTCTACGACAGCAGTTTTCGGCTGGTTGGTCCACATATTAGCACTTTCGAATTCAGCACCATATGTACGCAACTATAGTGGATTCCGTTTTCGCTATCACTTTCCTACGGCAAAACCAAATCCGAAATGTTATACGATATTTTGTTATTTATTAGGTTTAGAAATGAGAAAATCGAAACTATTTCCGTTACCACCAAGGTAGGTACGCGATAAAAAAAAAAAACGTTTCTGCCATATCGACGCGCTTAAATGGACATTTTCGTAATGTTCGGGTAGATAATTAATAGGTACGCTCTTATTTTTCGTATTTGACCTCCGAACCAATTGTACGCGCAAATGCACTAGAACACCCTCGATCAGGCGATCTCTCAATGGTAGCCGGGGATTTCCTCACAAATCAATATTATCTTTTAAGTCTTACCAAGTCGTCTGCCGCGGGTCCGCCACCGGCATTCCGCATGCCTACAGTCTTGTGAACGTTTTTTGTCGACCGATCTTTTCGCTGACAAAATATTCTGCCTTCGCGGCGAGTGCACACGACGAAAAATAAATGTATTTGGCGGGTTATTGCGGTTAGATATATACGACTATTGTATTTGGTAATCACTAATCAGTGTTGAGAAATTCGATATTAATCATTTGCGATGGCCGACGGGCGCGACGACTCGACTTTCCTAAAAAAAACATCTGAAAACCAAAGAAATTGAAAGATGTAGATAGGTATTACGCTCAACAATATAAACGGATTTTCCGCCGACACTCACTGATACAATTCGCCGAAACGACTTAGTCCAGCGAGGATGATTGGCCGAGAAAAACACACGTCGGCTTACGCGAGTTTTACCACGTCACAGCCAAGATTAATTTTCGATAATACGATATTGTTTATCCGCTGTCCAGTATTTGCGCTGGCTGTTCTTTTAATGAACCGGCGGTGCCCGTTATAAGCGCTGTCACAACTATATAATATGTACTGCGTCCGCCCCTGCCGTCCATTCCAAAATTCGGATCCAAGTCGAGCGGTTTTGCAATGGGAACCCCGGAATGGTCGCGGTGTTCCGACGGATTTCACCGACCAAAACGCCCAGAGACACGATAACTGCTCCGCCGATGGATGTATCATCGCCGCGGGAGGCTCGAGCCATCGGCCGTCGACGTTATATTATGACATTGAAAACGGCCAGTTATTCCGTTCACGCGGTGATCGTACGACAATAATAATTATTGTAGACAGTGGTCGCGCTGAGCCTCCGTGGACCTTGTGAGTCGTGTGACCTGTGCCGTGGTAGCTGTCGTACAGCTCACTCATCATGATATTGTATCCACTTATATTCCGCGAGCCGAACGTAAATGACGAGTACAGCAATTAATATTGGATGCCAGAGCACTGCAACGTGCACGAGAAATGACCTGCTGGCGGCCAAAAATTACTTAAACGCGTTTTATTTTTGATTCTCGTTATAATTATAAAAAAGGTACATGCGATTACACTTAGATATTTCAACATAAAAATAATACATTCGATAATCTTCCGCGATTGTTGTTTGTTCCACTGACGAAAAACAAGAGTGTTTGTGTCGCTTTGTTACGAAACGTTATTTTTAAAACACAGTAGGTAGCCAGTATATTAATTATTAGGTAATGCAATGCAGTATAAATACATATTAAAATACTTGTTTATTTTTAAATCTGTGCCTATAAAAACGAATGTCTGCCTGTCCTTTGTGGCTGTCCTGCAAACGGCTCGACCGATTTTGATGAAATTTTTGTCCGTGTGTTTGAGCGGTCCCCCGGATGATTTAGGTTAGCTGGACCCGGTAGGTCGAACCCGGGGAGCTGCTCAAACAGGGATTTTGGGATTTACGAAGGAAATTATGGTTTATAAATGGTTGCTATGTTGGTGAATCGGGCAGATCAGGTGCATCGGATTGCATCATATCGAATTTTCGTACATTGAGTACTTAGGTGGCAAGGTAATTGAGTTGTACTTATAGCCGCTCATCAGCATGTAAAAATAACAATTTTATTAAAAAGACATAGTATTCATATGAGGTACCCATCAAGTGGGGCCCGAAATTCATAACGCAGGAAAATTGCCTACCTGATAATACACTGCTCGCATTAGCTTCGGATCAGTCAGTATCGTAATAAAAATACGAGGACTTACTATATCACCATTTATGTCGAACCATAATAAAGACATAGAATTTATCTGATTTTCCAAATGTATCGTTATTTCTGTGAAGTGATGCTTAGGTGTAAAGAAGAAAAATAGTGATTTAAGTACTTTATATTGTTATATTTATCAATAATCACAGACCATAGTTATGGCTTATTCGAGAGGACTAAATTAGTTAATTTTATTATCTATAATCATTCATAAACTTTATAAAATATAGATAATATTATTAATATTATTAAAGTATACATTTTGTACTTCAGTTAACAGTTGTGGGTGATTTGCAAAAGTTTCTAACGTGTAGAATCATTTAAATACACAATATAATATGACAAAGGTGTCTAGGTAGGTACGTTTAAGTATTCTAATTTTCTATTTATTTAATTTGTTTATAAATTAAATTTAATACGATTAAATTAGATTATATTAAATACTGTAGGTTTCTAATAATATATATTATTGACTCTATACTTATCCCGAACTTTATCCGGCCCTAATGCTAATATAACACTATACCTAGGTTTACCTAATTACTTATATCTACTGATTAATCAGTTTATAATGTTTGAAATCGACATTTTGTCAAAATTGGAATAAGTGCGCATTATTTTTATAGGTACCTATAAATGCATATTTTATTTTGTTTTAAATATTTAATATAATAACATGTATTCTCTTTTACCTACCCTATAACTATACAAATAAAAATAATTTTTCAGTAACGAATTGTTAGGTATTTAGATTAGGTACCTGGTACCTACATCATTTTCAGTATGATATTATATTTTTTTATGCAAATCCTATGAGCAGTTATATGTGTGTATTTTAGACCTTAAACACGTCAAATAATTATAATATCTCAGCACATAACTGCAATCGTCTAAAGAAGTCCTCCGTTTTTCATTTTAATGACATTCAAAAACTACAATAACGCAATATTATAAAATTAAAATAAATAATAATCTGGCTATAGGTACAGTAAAATATTTTTAATAAAAAATAAATATGACTCTCTCTGTATCTGGCCAAATCAGAATGTTTATTCGTATCAAATATACACGTATACTAATTAATTGGTTGGGAAACATTCGTCAGTCTACTTCGAAGCTTAGCCGAGTAAAGGTCGCCAGAGAAAACAGTCGTCTAAAGAAAATATTTTTTTTTTTACTGTGTCAATAGTAATTACTGGTTTCTATTATTTTAAATTTTTACAAGTCTTGCCGTCTAAACACAAACATGAAATCTTTAGCCGTAATAATTCTCATTAATATGAGCTTGAGCGGATTTTTCGTCCTGAGTGAGTACAACACATTTTATCGCACTCTTGCTAAAAGGTACCTATAATGGTGATAGATTATTTCAGGCCTGATAAATAAATCCCGGACATTATGCTTTTATTTTTTTGTGTTAAGAACTCTTTTTAATTATTTTTTTCAAAATTATTTACAGTTTTATATTTTTTATATTTTTTTATATTTTTTGTATTTAATTGAAAATTCGAGAGAGTAGGTTTTGAGTTATATAACTTTAGTAGTACTAAGTATAATGGAAATGGGTTCAATGGGAAATATTGGATGATAATTTATATTTTATTTATCCATTGATTATTTATTTTAGTATTAAACTTATATTCCTTTAAAACTATTTTTAAGCATTGTAATCCTTACTATGAACATTTTGATTAGAATTAGAATTACGTATATAAGAATTTTCAAGAAAATAGTCAGATAAATAATAAAAAAAAAAGTTTGGTTCATTTGTTTGGAACATTCTTAAGTAATACAACAAAACATTTGAAGATTTTTCAAAGATTTTTAAATATTATCTTCAGTTATACTTATATTATAAAAATAAGAATTTGAATAAATGTATAATTAAATAAAAATGTAATAATGCATACTTAAAAATCATCCTGTATGTAGGGTAATTATTAATTATATCTCTTTAATACATTGTACACCGATGATGTATGCATTGTAATATTATTTTGCATGCTTGTTTGCATGATATAAATTGAACATTTTATACATTATTATATTAAATATGTATGGTATATATTTTAGCCAATGGTTTGTCGTGTTACGAATGCAAGTTGAATGACGCAGCATGTGCCACCGAGGAAAGTGATGCAAAACTTACAAAAATCATTTGTGCTAAAGGTAGTGGTGGTGGTGGTGGTGATGCTGGAAATGGAACTGCAACTACTGGAGCACCAGACGCTTCTGTTCCACCAGTAGCTGGTGAAACAACTAAAGCAGCTAAATTCCTAGCCGGTGAAGTTTTTCACTGTTTCAAGGCCATCCTTAAAGGAAGTAAGTGTTAATTAAAATAAAATTGCGATCCAATTTATGTTCTTATTTACCGTTCTAATCGATAGATGGCACAAGCAAGCCGATAGTACGCGGCTGCAAGGAGACCCCCGGCACCGATGACTGTTTACCTGCAGGAACCGAAGTCGAAAAATGCGATGTCTGTGACACGGACGACTGTAACGGCGGCACTGCTGGACAGTCTATAGTAACTGGGTCTGAGATGCAGTGCGCTCTCATATCATCCCTGGTGATTGCCAGGATGTTTTTCCTCACCAAGTGACGGAAGCTCAATCATTATAAAATAAAACTAATTAAAATAGTATAACTAAAACAATTATAAATTTCGTTGTAAAAAATACAAATATTCAAAACCCAACCCGTTTCGTTTTCATTATTGACCTAAACCAATAAAAAAAGTAATAAGTATACCTACTACACAAATTTAATAACTTAAGTTATCATAAAATAGTTTGAAATGCTATTTGAAAGTATAAGAAAAATGCTTATTATTTATTTAGATTATATTATATTATTTGTGTGTTATTGGTAATTAATATGAATAATACGTTATATTATACTATATCTCTCAACATTTTAAACCATGATGTGACGTAACATTATCGAGTGATCGATACATCCATCAATAATTATAACATCGATGGCGACAATGCAAAAGAGCATTAGCGACACTATTTTAACGAAATCTACATGTTTTTGTGATTGGGGCATAAGCGACGTCATTTTTTATCGATTGCTCTTGCTCATTTATCGATACGATTATTTGTTACGATATAAATTTAGATTTAGACATAGGCGCCAAAAAGAGTAAATCAATTAACATTTATAATATGTGAATAAATAGGGAATGAGTGACATTTTGTTTTGAATAAGTGCCATAGGATTTTACTTTGTGGGGCCTAAGCGACAATAGCACTATTGTAGTTAATAATTGATTTTATGTAAAAAATACTATTTCCTGTTATCTGTTCGGTTGACAGTAAATAATATTAATAAAAAATAATAAAAATAATACGTCGTAATCTTAAAAAATGCAATATCGTATGGGGGGTTATTAACACTTATAATTTTAATATTAATTATAAATAAATATAAAATACAGTAAAACTTCCGTTAACGGTCACCTCTGTGTAACGGTCATTTTTTTTTTTTTGGTCCCGTCGAGTGTCATGGGGAAAGTACATTAATATTTAATACTTCTATATACAGTGGGCACTATAATTAACGGTCAATTTATAACGCCGATAACGCGACGATCACTTGTTTGTGACTGACAACTGTGTATTTTATCATTGTGTTCAACGTGTGCTATTTACCGAAAAATGATACTCCGCCGAATATTATCACAGATCGACGTAGTAAAAGATGCTGATGAACTATCAAAAAGCAAAACTGTCTTAGACGCTTTGATGCGGATTAAACAGTACCTGTAAAGCAGATAACAAGCAATTGTGTTACTAAATGTTATAAAAAAGCAGGTTTTATTTTGGAAAATTCGCATGTAGATTTAGATAACACAGATCTTGAAAACGAAATAATAGTCGGCGAACAATTAGTTAATATGTTGCCAACACGTATGCAAGGTGAAGAGTTTTTTTTTGGTCGACAAAAATCTAAGAACTGAAGAAGATAGCACTGACATCAAGTCATTCATAACAACAGGTAATAACGAGGAGGAAACAAATTTGGAAACTGACGAACTCGCGTACAATGTATTAAACTATTATGAGGTTTTAAATCAAATTAAACAATTATCAGCTTTCACTCTTCAAGAAGGCGACGCAGATGGTTATAATCTGTTAAAAACCGCAGAAATTTATTTTGAAAAAAATTGTTCAAATAAGCAAATAAATCTAAAACTTTAATACATGATTAAAAAAAGCTTATGATATTTTCTTTTTAAATTTTAAACTGTACCTACCTATATTATTTCGTAAATCATAAATACATTTTTTAATGTCCCTCCTCTCTTGGTCCGTTTCTTATGAATTATTTATTTGGTATTTTATTTTTAAAAATTTGTATGATCTCCATATAGCGGCCACCTCATATACCGAACTTCTGTTAACGGTTACTTCTGTAACCGTTTAAGTTTTGCTGTACATATGTATATATAATTATTATATTTTTATTATTTTTGTTTTTATTATTTTTTCTATTTTATTTTTCTTTATGTCATTTATTTATGATTAATGATTATGAATAAAAATAGGATTTTTGTACAGCTAAGACCTAAAAAACGTTCAATTAAAATGTTAAAATGCACAAAATCGTGCAAAAACAGAATTTTCATTACGGATACTTCAAATTTTATTTTTATAATATTATTATTAACTAGGTAGTTGGGATTAACAATTATATTAAAATATAAAATGTATATATATATATATATATATATATAATTTAAATAATAATAAACTGACAATATAATATATAAAACTGACTTTACAATATTTAATATTCAATTTCAATTTATAATCATGTACATGTCCAAGTTTGTTTCGGTAAAATTATGTCGTCTGTCACTTACTATGAGTATTAAGTATTAACTGTTAAAACACACGTTCTAAGTCGACACTTGTTATCGGGCATTGTTTGTAGCAGCTTATTATAATAGCAGGATATTCTTTTACATCAACGTCACTTTGGATACGTCACGGACCACCTCAATTGTATACCTTATTTTTCTTACAAATAAGAATCAATTTTTTTTCACATATTTTAGAATTTTGATTATTATTACATGAATATGAGGCTTTTAATAACATGGATTTCACTATGTAATATATATTTATAAAGAAACGATGTACTATACACGATTGTCAGTAATTAGTGTTATGCCTCAAAGGAAAATGAAATTATTAAAATATTTTTACATTTTGTAAGTATGGCTCGCGTACCACCTGACAATGTCTCGCGGACCACTAGTGGTCCACGGACCATAGGTTGGGAACCTATGTTGTATTATGTTGTATCCGGGATTTTTATCAAATACTGATTTGAATTTTTCATAGAGTATTTGTCCCTTTTCATTCTCAATTGTCTTAAGTCCACCTCTTACTGTTTTAACTACATCTATTTGATAAAGTATAATTTTGTTTTTCAAGTTATGGTTCGTATTATATTATATATATACATTATATACATATATACATATAATTATACTTATTATTAGATATAAAAGTCCAATACTTCATACAACAACGTAATATAGCAAAAATAACACAAACATAAAAATAATATTTGTATTTAAGTACATTTTTATAAAAAAAACCCCGAAACGTGCAATTTTGGGCAATTTTGTGCAGCATAAAACTATCTTTTAATTAATCTACATCTCTTGATTTGGATTTGTAGCCTATTTGCGACAAAATAAAAAAGGTATGTTTTCCCGACAGACAACTTCTGGCAAATTTACCTGTGTAAACATTTTCACTAACGACTTGGTTTAATTTTAAAAACGCGACATACTCACGTAGTAACACTTGTAACTCATATATTTAATTCGTTACCTATTTTCATAAATCTATAGTTTTTAATTATGTATTGTGTATCATTGTGTAGGCAGACAAGTTTTATATCAGTGTTTACTATGTTGCACGATGTAGATACTCCGTTATCGGATATCGTTAGGTATTCGTCAAGTCATCGAATAAGTACGATCGCATTATGATTTTATCAGACATTCGCATCATACTACATAACCCTAACCTTTACCGCAACGTAGATAATAATAACTACTTTGGCAGGTAGACTTTTTTGGAAGAATTTTATTATGTGTTTGAAGGGAGTTGGAGCTTTTTCAAGGTTTGGTTTTTGTTGGACGTCATTTTTTTGCACTATTCAGGCTGAATTATTCAACATAGTGCGAGTCGTCTTCTCGGGGTTAATACTTAATCATACAATAATATACAGTATACGGCAACCAGTTTTTGATATGTGTCACGGTCATCGATTCAATGTAACTTCATGCATTTAGAACTACCCTTCCGACAGTTTAATAAAACTAGATTTTTCTCTTTGCTGTACATAGTAGTAGTATCAAATTTCACGTTGGTAGGTATTTAATAACCACCGTGTGATCAGATAAATGTTATTAATAGTATTAGAAAAATATAATTTACAACCCCTTATATCTGTGGAATAACATAATTTTAATTACAAAAACTACTTAGTCTCATAACTAATGTATTAACATATAAATCCCAACTCAAGTTTTTGCCAAAAATTAAAATTAACCTTGTAGTATGAACTGAAACCTCGCAGAAAAGAATCGGTTCTGGAACCGGAACCTTTTGAATATCGGTAACCGGAATCTCAGCAAAACTCATATTTAAATTAACTTTAAAACCGGAATTCTTGTTTAAATTAATTTAAAAACTGAAACTTCCTCGTAACCGATATTTTTACTTTTATGTAAAGGTTTTTTCAAGATTAATTTCGATCTCTTATTTGAATCAGGGTCGTGGATTAATAGTGACAATGACTACATTTGTACATTTTTTACTTATTCATTGCTCTCCTCGGTCCTAAGGAATTGCTAGGATAATATCTGGTCGAAAATTGTTATTGGCCCGTAATTGACACCGAATGACAGTACCAATATTTTATTACAATTTTTAAAGAATCGAAACAAAACCACAATCAAGTATAAAACCAAAATAGGAAATGAAGTTTTCAGTTTTTCGAAGAACCGAAAAGAAACCGAAAACGAAATTTTTGTTTTTCTGTGAACCGTTAAGATCATCAAGGTCCCGCTTTGGAGGTTTGAAATTTGTGACGTCTCGGCTCGTCTAGGGACTTGGTTTCAATGTCAATCGTGGGGTTTTTCACTGCAATACGAAAGCGTATATTATAATATACTAGGTATATAGTAAAATAAAAGATTCTGGTTTTCGTGTAAAACGACGTGTTATTTTACTCGCTGGTGGTTAAACAAAACACACTATCGTTCGTACGCGGCGCGTGCTTAAAAAGTACACACATAAATCGCGATCGTCGCGAGCACGTGTGATGGCGATGTGATTAAAAAAACGCGTCGGACCCCGCGTGTCGGGCAGGCGGTCGGTCGGTCGGCCGAGACGCGGTCAGTGGAAAAATCGCTTCAGATGATCGTGCACGACGAATCGGTGCACGAACGCCGAGCCGTTGGCCTCCATCGGCAGCGCGCACCACGCGAAGAACACGATCTTGGCGAGGAAGTAGAACGGTATGATCCGGAGCACGTCGCCGCACAGCTGCTGCACGATGAGCACGGCCGAGAACGTTATCCAGTACGTGAGCCACCGGGTGGCCGGCGGGACGGGCGCGCGCCGTCCGGACGGTTCGGCGGGCGGCGGCGGCGGCGGCGGCGGCGGCTGAGACGGCGGAGGCGGTGTCTCTCGGCGCGCGTCGTCCAGCACCATCAGCTCGACGGTGGCGTACATGGGATACGCGAACCCCAGCAGGTTGCTGAACAGCATGACCATCCGGCCGGACGCGACGACGAACGCCAGCGCGGCCAGCGCGCAGCCCACCAACAGTTTCGCGTGGCCGATGCCTGTCCGGCTCTCGAGCCACACGAACGGCGCCGACCACGGTCGGGTCCTGTCCCGCAGCGCCGAGTCCACCGCGTTGTAGACGTTCATGATGGCCATGCCCCGTGCGCCTCCTCTCTTGGCACCTCCTCTCCCGCGATGGCTGCCGGAAAACATTTCTATTATTTCTGTTGTTACCGTCGTCGTCGGACGAGACGAGATAACTACTGTTACGCGCTCCGTCCGGCCAGAGAACCGGTTTTGAGGGATACGTTCTCTGGCCGGACAGAGTATATAGGTGTGTTGTGTGATGGCAGACGCCCGGCGCGTTTACTTACCACCCCAGCGGCGTGTACACCAAACGCAGTCGTCAGCTCGAACAGGCAATTTTTTCGACGGCTAAATTATTATACAATACGAATTCTATAGTCGATTGAGATTGTATTTATAATAATATTGACCGCGATCGTTGGCAAGTGTTGATGATCGTGTGCAGTTAGTTTCCATGACGAAATTGCGACGACAAAAATTTAAAATGCCGCCAAATCCTCCGGACACGGTTGTCAGACCGGGGACAGTGGAGTGCCATAGATGTTATAGATGATGCTGGTGGTCAGTGGTAGACGGCCTAGATAATGAGAGAGTAACCAACTGAGCAGATAGCGGCCATGTTTCGTCCAAACTTTTGCCGCCTTTTTGCTCTGTTTGAAATTCAATTCTTATAGAACGATTATATTTTATACAATAATCATGCATATTACATGTAATTGGATAATTAGATTATTAGATCATTAGGTAATTTAAACATTTTTAAATTTCCAACATAATAATACCTATATAGTAAATATAATAATAACATTACTTAATTATTTATGTATAACAACTATAAGCACAACAAGCCGGCATGCCATCACGGTTCAATAATATAGTTTCAGAAAATGAATAAAAGAATACAATTTTAACTATTTTGATATGCAGTACACTGGAGACGTCTATATTCCATTTGAATAAACTATAGAATATTATTATTTGGACGAAAAATGGTGCTCATGATCAGTGATTACAGCCAATCAATAGGAAACGTTTTTGACGTTCATTTATATTTCGGAAATAGTCCATCCTGGAATATGAAATTAAAATGTATATTATTTTCAATAAAAAAGACTTTTGAAAATAATGAATGTAGACACTTAAATGAACCACATTATATAACATTATTACGTCCAGTTAAATAATATTTTTGTCAAATCGTTTCGACATATTTTTGTTGTTATGGTATTTTAATATTCAGTTATTCATTCTACCTATTATTTTGTTACATTGCCTCTCAAGGTTATAGGCACATGTGCTAAATTCCAATGCCGACGTATCTAATGATTATAGTGTAAAACGAGATTTGTTGGAATGCAGCTAATTATTCGGTCATTTAATTGACTTTTGTTCTGAAAATATTTATTTTAAAATAAATTTCCATGTTGTAGGGCCTTCAGATGGTCTATAATAACACCATAATATACGAATAAATTACTTTGATTGTGCTTTTAATTACACCAGACAAATACCTAAATGAGTTTTAATTAGAGATCATCATGATGTAATGTTTTTAAAAAAATTTTTAAGTGACAAAAATTTACATTATTGAACATGATATAATGTATTTTGTTATGATCATTTTAAAATATACAAAAAATGAATAGTTTACAAATGTTCATAAGGTATTTAAAAATAATAATATCAATAAAATCCTCTGAGACAATGTTCTTGCCTCTAAATTTTATAAGAGGTAAATTTACTCTAATTTTAGAAATAGTGGTGTAAAATGTTTTACTATGAAAGTAAAATTTGCCATGTTGTACTAACAATGTTTTCAAAAAACAATAGAATAGAAAACATAAATATAAATATCTACTTTTTAAAATAATATTATATTTATCACTTGCAATAATAATTTAATTTACACCCATTCACACATGAATATGCCTACAGATATATTTTTTTATCTAGCTAACTATTTAGTTTTATTTTATAACTTTAAAAAGTTGAATAAGTTTATTTTTTTTTTGTTTTGCATGATTCCTTTCGCTATAAACTTCATAATATTTTATAAACCAATTGTATTCAATCACTAATTATTTTTTAAAATATTCTTATTGTGAATCTAATTTGTTATTTAAATATAAAGATAAATGTATAAACTGATCAGTGGTAGAATAAATAGAATTATGATAAAAAAATATGTTAATTATTGTAATAAGTATGTTTTAATATTTTAATAATATCTGATAAATTGTATCTATTTAAAATAATAATATTGATTATAATTAAAAATTTGTTGATTACAAATAATAAATTATACCGCTATAATTGTTAACTGGTGATTCACTGGTATTTGAAAAGTGTCTTAAGATTGTCAGCTATTATGTAAAACAAAATATCAAGTAGTGTGATTATGTACAATCAGGTTCCATAAACATCAAGGGCCCCAACAAAAATATTGTCCAGGGTCTCAAAATACCTAGTGCCGTCGTAGCTAGCGTATGAGAAGTCGGTATTGTCATAGAAAAAACCATGGCAGTCGAAGCTGTCTTATCAGTTATCATTAAAAAGTATATGTATTTAATACAATACCATACGATACAATTGTATAATTTACTATTTTCAGACACGCATACTGGAAATGTTTTAAAAAATTGTATATTCTTAGTACATTTTACTTACTACATTTTAGGGATTTCGTGGGATCGGAGGCAGCAGCCTTGCCTGTCACCCTCCTTCCACACACTTATGATGGCTAATAATATGACAGTTTATATTGTTTATATTATCAATATCCCGATACTCTATATTAACCAGCTAAACCGGATAATGCATGTTTAGGTTAGTGTCAACTTAGAAACACAATTATTGGATTTGAGTAAACTATAAAATATCTAATAAAATGTTATTGGTAAGAAATTTTGCTGTTCTAATTATTATTTTCAATTGAGTTGTATATTATTTACCATGCGGAAGACACCGAAGACATGAATACTTAACCGATTGCCCGAAATATGTTAGCTTGCTTAAATCAGATTTGGAGAATTTCGATTACATTTGTTGTATCCTTGATTCACAACGCAGATAATTGCTACCTGCGTATTTAATTTATACAAACCATGTGACCTGTGTAATGATATTTAAAAAGCATTAAAATTGACATTGCCCTATATAAAACAGAGGCATTTGCATTAATTAAAGGTAGGCTAGGTTAGTGTGTGTTAAATGTAAATTAAATTGATAATGATTGCAAAGTTTACGAAGTGTAAAGATAATAATTATTAGATTTGAACACTATAAAACTAGTTTGACCAATTTTGAATCATTTTATTGGCGAGCAAAAATAATTTTTTCACGTAAATATGATTATTAAACATTTAGTAGTAAAACTAATTACAATTTAAAATATAAGTTAGGATTTAGAAATAATGTGAAATAAGAGTATAATATTATACTTAATAGTTCATATGATATAAGCGTTTTACACAGTAATAATTTATTGTAACATTAAATTACTCATCTGTTTTTTCTAAGTCAAGGTATTTTAATTTTCAGTTGAGGTTAAGTCTCATAAAAAATAATATTATTACCTTTATTATAATGGTTTTTAATATTTTTAATATTCATTTTTATGTTACTTGATTAAAATGAAAACAGAAATTATAAAAACTAAAAGCAAAAAGTATTGGAAACTAAGTATTTTGTTTTAAATACACTTTAAGAAAGTTGTATTTAAAACACTACAATGATTATATCATTGGATTTAAGTCAAACACATCTATTACAACGGCTTACTTATTAACAAGGGACACTTGTCACTCTAAGTTTTTTAGTTAACACAAAATAATAAAATCACTCCACGAGAAATCAGGTGAATATCTAAATATGTTGTACAAACGTTAACTCCGGTACACATTTTTGTCGTTGTTTACACAAATGTATGATTAATCTTGTTTTCAATTTTAAAATTTTAGGTATAAAAAAAAATATTTATGAATTTATAACTCAATAATTAAGTAATTTTTCGTGAAATTGTTTTTCAATTTTTTTACGAGGAACATTGTATTACATTAGTTTAAAAAAAAACAAGCAATAATCGAAAATTTAATATGCCTATAAATAATTCAACTTGATCCATAATATTTTGAAAATGTTATGGCGTATAGAAAATTCTAACACAAGCATTCAGTGAAAATGTCATGTATCTATACAGGCATTTTCTTATGAGTTACACTAAAAACCCAAAATTCCCGTTTTTCCTTAATTTTTTGTTTGTTTTTCATGTGGCTTTTGAAAACAATTTGGAATTTTGACCTCCCGAATGCACCAACTAGATTCTTTTTCCTACCCTACCAGAAAAGTTGCTGTTGAGGAAAATTGAAAAACTTTTACTGCCCCAAACCTTGATGACAAACACACACAAAACACTCATCATTGTAAAATCAATACATTCATCGCTTCGCTAAAAATTTAAAATATTGAAACATAACATTTGTCATTTACTTCTTTTAAAAAATCTTGTTGTTTTTATTTCATAAAATTATGTGCATACTATAAAAAAAATATATCTTATATTCTTTGTCTTTATACATGGTGATTTACCAATCAAGCTTACCCCCATTTTCTCCTTTAATAATAGATTTAAATTCAAATTCTCATTTTTTGAATTTTGAAATATACTCAAAGACAATATTATTTTTAAATCCTTGAATTTTTTTGTACAACAGTAGTTGCAGGAGTATTTTACGATGATACAAACTTCTGTTTTTCAAATGAGAACCCCCCTCTTTTAGTGTAAATCAATTAGTGGATTATTTTTTTGAAAATGTTGATGTACCACATGAAAAATTCGAATGAGTAGTTTCTTAGTTATTAAAATGTTTGTATATTAACTATAATAGTTCTTAAAACTGTTTTTACATAAAATATATACAATAGACGTAAAATTGTATCTAGTATTTATTATAGTTGGGCCTTTTTTACAAATTATTAATATCGATAGATTAATATTAATGACTTCAATTTTCAAATCACCATAGCCCCTATATATGTTATAAACTTATTAGTTATTACTATGGCACTTT